TTTTGGTTAATATATATATATATATATATATATATCTTTTTTTTAAGCCGATTGTAACAGTAGGGCAAAAATAAGAAACGAATCACCCAGAATAACTTTGATCCCGATGATTAGAGCTTCACGTTTTAGTTCTCTTAATGATTCAAGGCGGTAACCTCAAATATGCTAAATTGTGCAGACGATATTTTAAACTGCGAAACCAAACTCAAAAACGTTCTTTCTCTGAATAAGCATACCTTTTTTTCGATGTATTCAGATTTCTGACCCCCAAAATATAAGGGCTACCCGCAATCTAGGAAATATGGTCCCAATATTTTTTTAATGACAGAGGACCAACATTTGGACCCTTTAGTTTTAATTTTACTTTTTGCGTATTTCGCCATGTCTCGAGAAATTTTTGAGCGAATTGAACACTTTTTGTACACGATTATAAGTTTAAATTCCACTTATGCAAAGATAATTTTGTGCATAGAATAACTTTAAGTAAATTTTTATTATTTAATTGAAGAATAGTAAAAAAAAAGATTGAATTGCAGGGCATACAATTTTTTACAGCGTTTCAGAAAAGATATTTTTACATAAAAAGATACTACATTTGTGCGAAGTCGATCGATTAGTTCCTGAGAAACAGAATTTTTTAGAAGTAGTATTTTTAAAATTCAATTTCACAGGAACTATTTGACCGATTTCGCTCAAATTTCGTATTTAAAATAAAAATCTTTAAAATGATTTAAAAAATTGTATACCTTACAATTCAAAACTTTTTCTAGTAATATGAAAGAAAATATATTCTATAATTTATTTTTTGTATGGAATATTCTTTAAATAGACGAATTTTATAATTTTGTGCAGAATTTTTTCAATCCACTTAAAATGTTCTCAAGATATGGTGGAAAACGCATAAAGTAAAATTATCATTAAAGAGTCCTAGATTTGGACCGCCATCCTGACAAAACTATTGGCACCATATTTCCTAAATTGCGGCTACCCCCTAATTTTAAGGATTCAAAAATCCAAATTCGTCGAAGAAAAGGTTTATTAAGAAGTATGTAAAAAAAGTAAAAGGTGATAGTATGCAAAAAAAGAAAGGTATGTAAGGTAAGCGTACATTTCGAGAAAGTATGTTTCTGAGTCTGATTTCATACCTTAAAATATAGTCTGCACTAATTAATTAGCATATTTGAGATCACCGGCTCGAACCATTAAGATTGAGTCATAGAACGTTAAGATCCACTCATTAGATCAAAAGATATTCAGTGTGATCCTTTTTTTTTATTTTGCGCACTCACTATATAGGTTTGATTTATGATTTCTGGCGGTATGTAAAAAATAAAAAATTTAAAACTAAAGACCTATGCTTCAAAACATAAATGCTACTAGTACCACTAGGAAAAAGTTTCCTTAACGTCCATACACATTTGCAACAATGTTATGAGTATTAATTAAGAAACATCCCTTCGCAACGCAATCGATAAACAATTGAAATAGAGAAAAAATTCAACAAAAGTCAATTACAAAATATACTGAAATATGAATAGCATAAAATACATTATATTTGGCAATAATTATTCCAAGAACTCTTTTATTATGAAACGTAACTCTTTTCGTGCAATGACTCCAAATGAAATGAAATTAAATCTCCGAATGCTTTCAATTCCTGACCTACTAAATCGTGAAAACACGAAAGATCGTTTTTTGTCAGATATCGACATAAATGATTTTCGTATAACAGGGCTGATTGTATTTTGTAAATTCAGGAGCGACAAATGTACAGTTAAAGCGTGTAAAAATATTTTTCTAAGTTATTATTTAAATTACAAAAACTTACAGTTGATCAAATTCATTTTTGAATGTTAATAATTGAGTGTTAAAAAATGCAATATTTTCCCTAATAACGAATCAATTTTCTTCAAAATCCAATTGTGATGATAACGAAGGAATTATTATTTTACTGAAAGCAATCAGCCCAAGTACAGCATTTATTACTTGACAGATATTTTCGAACCAATTACAGTAGTACTACTTAAACAAAAGGTAAATTTTTTGTTTCTTTTATTAAAAAATATTACCTATTTATTTTAAGAATATCACTACAAAGTATGTAAATACGTAAAATAATAAAAGCATTATGAACTGAAATCTTCAGTACCAATTTTAAATATTTCATCTAATTTGCATTGAATATTGAAGCGATATTTGAGTGGTAGGTTTATCTAATTATTGTTAGCTTATTTATGTATTGTGATTTTAAGCATTTTTTTTTGTTATTTTTCAGTGCAAAATAATATGAATTTAAATGATATAAGATAATTTGAGTTAGAATAGCTTATATTGTTATTTTAAAGTTATAAATTCCGATCTCATCTGATGCAATTTATCCAGTAATGATGTGTAAAAAGAGTCTTTAATGGTCTTCCTTTATAAATTTTTAGATTTAAAATTGTAGTCGAAAAAGGAAACTTAATAAAAGTCATTAGTTATTGACTCGAGATAGAAACAAAAATGCTATCGAAGTGACATCCAACAAATCACTTCTGAAAAAAGCGGGTCTGAAAGCAAATTTTTTTTTCCATTACCATGGGAAACAGAGAGGATTTAAAAGATGCGTATTAGAAACACCTTCAAGCTTGACCATAAAACCAAACTGTTTTAAATGTTTTCATCCCACCTTCCTTACTAGTGTTTCGACAGATTTTTGTTTCTTACTCAGTTAAATGTTTGTCGTTCCCACTGTTAGAACTTCATTCTAAGATTACAATTAAGTAACCTGCATCAAACTGTCCATAAAAGTAACCGTAATGTTTAAGGTATAAGATTATTTTTTACCTCTACGGTATTAAATTTAAGTGATGTCTTTCGTTGGAAAATTAATGTTATACTGAAACTATTTATGTCTGATACAAGTAATTTACCCCCTAAACTTCAAATGTATACAAAGGGGTCCATGTAAATTTTATAGATGATTCACTTTTTAACGCAAAATTTAGACTAAATTCAGGGGTTTTTCAAATATTAGGCAAGCGTCTTTTCAGTGATTTTGTATCTGCTACCATCGTGTCAGCAAAAATAAATAAACCACAAGTGTAATTTTTCCAAAATCTAGAGAATTGTGCAATGTATAAAGGATTTTCTTTCCACCAAACTGTATTAAGTGTCTTATATCAGCATCGCTTACACTTCCTTTACCACCTTGTCAACAAAAATAAGCCCTACTCACCCTTTTAATAGCAATACTTAAATGGCAATTATTGATATTTCGTACACAATAAAGTCAATTGAAACCCCCTTTTTCACCGTTAAGAGTAACATTTACTTTTTGTTAATGAGTTTTTGTTATTTAAAATATTCAAACTAACTAATTATCAAACCGAAATAACTTTCACCCAAGAATAATTCGTCATTTAATTTTCAGAAAATTTAAAGAAATGATATTTTATGAATTTGTGAAATTCTTTACATCAATTGCAATGTTACGAAAATTTATTTTTGGATTTGACTATGAAAGTATAAAAATACATCTCTTAGTTAAACTGGAAAAACACCTCGACTTATCTTTAATTCACCGCAATTATTAAAATTTTAACCTTTCCAAAACTTGTGGTTAAAAAGGTTTCTACTGAATAAGAAAAGACTACCGGAAACATGCAGAATAAAAGACAGAATTATCCAATTCTTCAAACTAAACATCAAAATATATAAAAAGGATGAACTTTAAAATACTCTCCTTAGAGAAAGCTATGGAAAATTCGTGTGCGCCAATATAGCCAGCGGCTATTAAAACTAGAAAATTAATTACAATTTCGTTCTTACAGGAAAAGAAAAGGCTTTCAAGGGCTATTCTTTATATACTTTAAGCCATGCAACTACTGTTGCTTGGCTGGGTATTTTTGTTATGTTTTAAAGAAACAATTCAACAGAACAGATATACAACAGCAGGTAAGTTAATAATTTATCATTTATCGAATTTAAATACTTACCCGTTTTTCACGGCATATTTGACTTTTCGAAACAATGGATGATTTAATGAAATACTCTATTAAAAAATGCAGAAAGGAAAAGTCTTTAAATTCTATTTATAACATTTTGTTTGCTAAAAAGTATGTCATAGTAGAATTATTTCGGAAGTTTTTATTTATTAGTTTTTATTCTATCAGTTAAAATTCGCAACATATTTTCTCCTATTTTGAAATATCTACTCTTTCAACTACGATAAAATGAAATTTTAAATTGCAGCTGCAGTCAGTAAAGGTGTTTATTCTACTATTTTATCTACTATTTTAGTATTACATCGTATAATGTTTTTTTTATTTATTAGTTTTCAATATATCCGTTAACAGCCATCACATATTTTTATCTCATTTTGCGTCAAAGCACTTGTCTTTTAACTTAGAAATAAAATTCTTAAAACATGGCTTTTTTTAAAGTCTTATAACTCAAAAAGTATTCAATCAATTTCCCTCAAACTTGGTATTTTTTTAATTTAAATTGCATAATTTAAAATAGTGTAAAAATTTACTCCTTACAATTCATTATTTTTTCGACCTTTTTAAATTTAAAAAAAAAATTAACAATATATTTTTACTTGAAATTAATTATCTATGGATAGAAAATTTTTATAGTTATGTGCAAATTTTTTTTACTCGCTCTGAAACTACGAGATAAGGCTCAATAGTGAGTATAACATTAAGGGGTTAAAACTTTCGCCAGCTCTCCTGTCAAAACTATAGGGACCATATTTTCCGGGTTGCTGCTACCCACCATATTTTGATAGTTAAAAATCCGAATTCGTTGGAAAAAATCTGTGTTTATTCAGTGAAAGCACGTTTTTGTGTCTGATTCTATAACTTAATAGTTAGCACAAGTTAATTAGCATTTTTTAAGTTGCCTCTTTGAACGACTAATATTGATGCTTATTTTATGAGAATCTGATCATTAGAACTAAAGTTATTTAAGTTGATATCCTTTTTACTTTGCACACTATTCATTTAAATGCTTAAAATCATCAGTCAATAGCTTACAAAGTTATATTTACAGAAAATATTAAGGAAACTGCATATTGCTATATATTGTTGCAATAAATTAATCTCTACATTAAATCTTTAGTGGAAAATTTCAATAATTCTTTTAAAACCAAACTTAAACAACATGTAAAAAAATACGCATTATTCATGAAAGGAAACAACAAATATGAAAATCTGTACTTCATAAAGTTACGATATAACTAAAATTCGAAAAATCAAATAAGAACAAATAAAAACAAATGTGTTCTTAAGGCAAATGGGCATTAATGGGGAATTTTCTTCAAATATGTAACTAACCACTATTTTCATATATTTTGTATAGTTTACTGCCTTATCTTCAAATGATATTTAAATTTTTTAAAAGAATTCTGTAATGATATAGAGTTTAAAATCTTCATGCAATTTTTAAATATGTGAAGAGCTTATAAAAAATTATTTTATGCATTAATTATATGGTAAAATGCTTAACATAAGATTTATCAGATTTCCTAGCGACTTTTAAAGAGAATTGTCAGAGACATTCTTGAAAATTATAACCATAATTTATTTTGTAAGCTAATTTATTAAGAAAATCTAGATAAAGAAAAGAAAGTATTTATAAGCAAAATTGAAAGAAAACAGTTATCAACAGAAAAAAAAGATATATGTATTATCACTTACCTTTATTAATTCTAGTCTTTTTCTGTAATTATTTTGCCTGCAATTTTTTTACCCTTGCTTATCATTTCCATCTTCACAAAACATAAGACCACTATTTCTAAAGATAATTATTATTCCTGTCATTTAATTTATTAGAATAAATATTATCATAATAAAAACTGTCATAATAAAAAAATTTTATATCATCGACTAAACGAATCAACTGGAAATCTTAACACAACAAATATAACGCTAATTTAATTTTAATTTCATACGCTTATTAGTTCTCAAAATTTTGGATTTTAGTCTTTTTAAGAATTAAAATCACCACAGTACTTGTTAACATTTGAGCTTTATCCAAAAGTTGTAACAAATATCAACGATTAAATCATTACAATCAATAAGCCTCATTAGTTAAAAACAATGTTTTAATAGACAATTACAATAATTTATATTATTATAGTGTTTTTCCTCAAGAGCTTAAAAGATTAGATGATGCTTGACTATAATATGTGCTGTGAACTATGACAAATCAGATTGTAATCATTAAGCAGTAATATTTTACTAAGAAATTTTCTTTTCCTTTTGTTGTGCTTGAATTGACGTCATTTAATATTTCATACGGGAAGACCCAACATTTATTTGAAAGTGAATTTGCTTTGTTATTCAAATTACTAAAATCGCTAACTAAAAATAATTAAATTGGATTTTTTTTGTTGCGTATTTTGATGAATAACTTCCAAAATTGATAATGGTTTGTGGTTACGATAAGTGACCAAAGAATTTCATAATACAGATTAACGTAATTATTCAATTCAGAATTTTACTTTTAATTTTTTAATTTGAGTTACTTGAATTTACGATATGATAAAATATTAATTTGCGCTGACAGTAGTTTTAAGAATGTATACTGATAGTCGCCGACAATACGAAAGCACATGAAATACAATAAATATATTAATTAATAATTATATATTATTGTATCACGTATGTTATAAAAGAATTAAGAAAGCTACATTAAATATTTTGAAAGTTTGTAAAATTATTCAACTGCGTTATACGGAAAGATCCAACATTTATTTGAAAGTAAATTTGCTTTGTTATTCAAATTACTAATATCATTATGTAATAAAAATAAAATTGAATTTTACTTTTTTTGCATATTTTAATGAATAACTTCTAAAAATGACAATGGTTTGTGGTTACGATAAATGACCAGAGAATTTCATAATACAGATTAACGTAATTATTCAATTCAGAATTTTACTTTTATTTTTTTAATTTGAGTTAATTGAATTTGCGATATGATAAAATATTAATTTGTGCTGACAGTAGTTTTGTGAAAGTGTACTGACAGTCACCGACAATACGAAAGCATACGAAGTAAAATAAATATATTAATTAATAATTATATATTATTGTATCACGTATGTCATAAAAGAATTAAGAAAGTTACATCAAATATTTTGAAAGTTAATAAAATTATTCAACTGCGTTTTAACTGGTTAAAAAAGAAAAGATTTTTAGATGTTTTAGTTATGAGAAAATAATGATAGTTCATTTAGATTACCCACAACTTTAATTTTAAAAAAAAACATGTGGTAAATGTACATGTTATACCTTGGGATCTGTTCCAAAATACAACATATGCATAATTTTTAAAAAATTTAATATCTTTCGCTACAAAAGAAAATGTTTTCCTTTATTGTAATCTTTTAAATACAGAAACTATTCCATTCCATAAGTATATTTTAGCTTAATGCCCAATACAATATTTTTCTTATTTATTTTAATATTTAAGGAGTCGAACCACTTCGTTTAGACGAAGTCGAAGTGTAATATAAATCTTTTCGTATTAACCAATAAAACAGCAAAAAAGATTTAGGATGATTTAGAGAAAAAAAAATGCAGAGATCTCAGAGAATTTAAATGATAACTTTAGAGAAATAATTTATGGTTATTTTAAGTTAATTAGTATTTTTATGCAAAAATGTACATTTCTAGCATAAACCTACTAACAGATAAGCTCACTAATTTCCCCAACTACAGCTATAAAAGAACTAAAATCAACGTCTTGAGATAGTTTGCAATTTCTACTTTAAATGGATAACAAATTTAAAATTTAAGTTTGTTTCGGTTAGAAAAAAAATGCAGAAGAGAAAATTTTGCATTTAAAGTTAATATTTACATTATGAATTTGACAATAACTGTCGAAGCTAAAAATTGAAGATGTCGGCAAACAAAGTATTTATTATTTAGTTGTGTACAATATATCATTCCTGAAAAGTCATAAATGCACTCCTTTTTTTATAAATATTTTTTTAATGAAAAAGGCAAATTATCCTACTACTAAGATAAGACAGGGTGCACATGTTAATTTTATGAAAAAATTAGAAATATTAGAATTTCAAGGAAACAGTAGTAGATATTTTTTATCTTACAGGATAATTTAAGAACATTATGAATGTAATTTACATGTAATGTAGTTATTATCTTCCTCCTCTGCACTGCAGATACCATGGATTCTCGGGTTAAGGCTGGGTTGAACCCGGTGTTACCCAGCGATCAGATGTTATTGAAGCGAAACACAATAGTGCTACTATTGAACAAAATCCTTATTGTTTGTTAGGGTGTGAATCTTTAGTAAACGTATAATAAGCTGGACTAAAAATATTTTTTATAATTGTAATGGCTAATAAATAAATATAGTTTAGAAGCAAAAAAGCAGTAGAGATGACTTAGTAAAACAATCAACACAGACGCCTTGAATTAACAAGGACACACCAATATGGCAGATCTTTCTTCTTGACTAGTGTTTAGTCCGCTAAAAAACAGAACTAATTTCGACACAATCTAGGTACCCGATCTCATCTCATTACCTAGTCCTATCCCTCAAACACTGCAACAACTCCCGTAATACTGCGCCAAAGTACAACACAACTAAGCGATTTAAAAAAAAAAAAAAGCAAAGTAAGTGCAACAATTGCGACGCACTTACGTTTTTATTGCTTTATTCATTTACTTTTCATTTAAATTTTATTTTTAATTACACGGCAGAACACTCTTCCCTAAACAATATTTTATAAATTATAACGTTTATATATATATTGCATTTTTGATTAAAAATTTCAATGGCTAATATCTCACAGCTAAAAAGGGAATTGCTTTAACAGTAGAGTTAGCAATATCTTAACTGTTTATAATTTGCTTTGGTAATCTTTATTTTTTTTTTCTACAGGCGCTAAAGTGATTTTTCCTCGTTCATCTGCTACTGAAAACACGTGTACTACTCTGACGGCTAGATCTGGTAATTGCGTTGCACTTTATCAATGTCGCAATTTGATTGAACAACGCAACTTGGGCGTCTTGAGAAGATCTTTGTGTGGTTTTGAAGGGAAAGCTCCTAAAGTTTGTTGCCCACTTTTAGAAGACGAAGAATTTACTACCGATACTCCAGTTGCTGTTAAGGGTTATAAGTCAAATGAATCGGATATTTTGAACCATACATCAACAACCTCTACTGAATTTAACACTAATCGTAGCACCAATCCAGGAAGCTCTAACGAAACACAAGATGGAAGAAGACTAAGTAGTCCTTTTCCGAATGGTAATATATCCTTTTCTACTTATAGATTATAATTTATTATGATTATTATATATCGTAGTCCTTAATATATATTGTTTAAATTGTTGTCAAGAAGTCAGTATGAAGTATACACATAGGAGGTTGTTAATTAACATTTAAGCGAGGGAAAACAAAACTGTATTAAAATTTATCGCAGTAAGAATGAAATAAATCACACTGGAAGTGGCATTTTTTTCAAAAGTTATTTATTTTTCAAGACGCAATCCAGATAATTCAGAAGCCTTCTGATAGCCATTCATGAAGGATTAAAGTCCATTCTTGAATTAAATGCTTCTGGTGACCTCTGGATTCTCACTGACAGTCGCAGTTCCTTACAATACTTACAGGACTGGAATCAAGTTACTGACCTTGTTGGGCACTGAAATAATCGACAAATACCTCGCTAAAACTCGAGATGTCCACTAACAATGGATCTCGCCACATATTGGTGTCCCTGCAATGAAGTCAGGCTAAAAGGGGTACCACTGAGATTGCAACATCTGAATACCTGATTACCAATCAAAACATTTTTTCCCTGAAGAAAAATTATGACATTAAACTCTGGTTAACCCTTCCTGCTCACCACTGGCTTGGCAGAAACAGCCCTGTTGGTGGGTGGTGCTCTAGAGTTCAAGGGAGATAGATCGAATCAAACGGCAGTTTCACAATTTCTCAGTGGTCATTTAAAACGTTTGGCTATATTGTGAAGGATCGGAAACAACAACAAAATGTATCGCAACTCTATCGAGGAAAACGAGATGAAAAATATCAAAATTTTTTAACTATCTGGTTAAACGTGGAGGATTTCTGAAAAAGTAGCCTTTGAACTCCTTATTGTTTTCTTCGGCAATCAATCAGATTTGACGTTTTCAGTAACAACTTCCTTAAGTAGTGATTCGACAAATTCCGTCATCTTTTTTTTTTTTTTTTTTTTTTTTTTTTTTTTTTTTTTTTTTTTTTTTNTTTTTTTTTTTTTTTTTGCTCTTAAATATTATTTTGCGAACTCTAATGTTTATGTTTTTGTACTTCAATTTTAAAAAAAATTATGAAAATACAAATCAAGTGTGTGCTGTGAAACTGAAAAAAAAAAATTTTTTTAAGCGTTCCTTCAGTTTTAAAAAATCCGAGTTACGTCTATTAATTTTTTATCTTATTCAAGGATAAATTAAAACTGGATTTAATCGTACCGCCAAAATTCTCCTGAAATATAACTAAATTTTGAAATAAAACAAGAAGTTATCTACATTCAATTTTAAACTTGCCATCATTTTTTTGTTTTTCAGTTTTCTATTTGTGATCTGCCATTGTCTTATAATTAACCTTTATGTTCATGGCAGAAAGCTGTAAGTTTGCGCTTGGCTGAGATACGCATCTATAAGTGATGCAATTGTTCTTGAAACTTATGATTCGTTTTAATTTACTGTGATAATATGATGTGTAAATATTATAAGTTTTGAAATAATTTAAGTTAAAAATTAAATATTATGTAATTTATTTCCTTAAAACAATTTTTCAATCAATCAATAACAAATTTTTACTAATACAGTTATTAATTAAAATATTTTGAGCATTTTTATCTAAATAATTAAAAAAAATCATAGAATTTTATTTAATTCTTTTTTTTAAACGACCTAGGAAGAGTGTATGGGAATGTTATAAGATAAACTTTATTTCTCCAGACAATTTAGCACTATATACGTATGCACTGTAAAGATAATTAAAAAAAATTTTCGTTTATGGTGTCTAGTGTATTCTAGTGGCTGGATAGAATTAAGATTGTTTATACTTATTTATACTAAAAGAGAAAGAAATGAAAATTAACTTTCTTCGAGTTTACATTAAAAGACTACTTCGAGCATTTTCAGTAAAATTAAAAAAATAACCCTTCCTTTCTTAATTCTTTTTTTTTCACGCAATTTTTTATCCTAAAATTACCTTTTAACTGCTCTGATAAATTAATAGATCATGCAACTCTTTCAATTTACTACCAAATAATTTTTTTATATCTCTTTTTCTTCTTTTTTTTTTTAATCTCTTTTATTGGTTGTTGCAAAGTTGAGCAAGAATTCGGCTCTGTTTCCAAGCTATTTTCTCAACAAAGAAAGCAAACATTTTTCTAAATTTCTTTAGCTCTTGATTTAAATAATTGAAATTTTTTGTTTAGGTAACACTTTTAATTAATTTATTTTACGATAAATTTCTACCATGCGATCTGAAACAAATAGTTCCTAAATGTAGTAGCTTTTTTCATGTATTTTTTCTTCGATTTAGGTTTAAAAATATCGTGCTGTTAGATGGGTTGCTGTTATACCTTGATCAGAATTGAATAATAAAATACTCATAGTATGTGTATAAAAAAACAACTAAACATTATTTTTCATTTAAAAAATGTAATTGCATATCCCTTGAAATAAAATCTTGAATTAAAGTAATTGCAGAAAAATATTTTTCATTGTAGATTGCGGCAAAACACACGTTACTTTTCGAAGAATAGTAGGAGGACAAGAGTCAGTTATCGGAGCCTGGCCATGGATGGTAAGTTGTTTTATTCTGCATTTCTTGTTATCTGTCGATTTACTTAAAATTTACGAACTTACTTAAAATTTTAACAGACTGTATACTTATTTTAATATACATGCATTACGCATTTATGCAGCTTTTAAATTCTTAAGTTAGAAGAAAATTGAACTTCTTGAATCCATATGCATATAGAGCGCTGTTTCTTAGAAAATACAATTTGTTTGTCTACGTTAAGAACTCCCCCCGTCACAAAGTCTGAGGCCGATATCGATAAAAATATCATTTAGAAATATCTGCAGTTTCAGGGCAAAACTAATTTAAAGATTTGAAATATCCATACCCGAATGTAGGCAATATCAAGCATTCCTATAAACACAATGAGACATTTGTATCCCAATGTTATTTATAAGATTGATCAAAGTTGCACCCGTTGACGTTATTACACAATGAACAACGACATAAAAATGATTCCTTTAGACAAACTATTGGCGATCGAAATGGGCTGCAGGTGGCGTAGAGCAGAACTCTTTTCCTATGGCAACACTTCACATGCTTTCCCCATTAGCGTGTGGAAAGTCATAGAGGAAGGAAGTACGTTAGTTTCTCTCTTGATTTTCATATAGATTAAAATCTTTTAACTTGAAAAACTATATGGAACTGAAAACTACATTAAACATAGTTCTAAAGAAAAGTATCACGGAAATTTTAGAAAATACTTTTATTAAGTAGAAAGGAAAAATATTAAGAAAAGGGAGAATATCGTAGTACATTCCTATATAACTGAAAAGAGGAGGAGAGGGAAGGGAGAAGGGCTAAAGGCATGAAACCGGTCTCTCCCCAGATGGCGTATTCGAGTGTTGCGATCGCGAATAGTTTGTGAAGTTTTATTTCGACCATCTGTGCCTCAACATAGCATAGGCCAGTGGTCGACAACCTATGACGACCATCCTTCTTGAAAATGGGAATAGTTCTATTATGCAACTGCATACCTTCTAAATACATTCCGAAAACTTTTCGAACTCGAGAAAAAACTTTTGAATGAAACCTAGGCATCGTGTACTGGCATGTTGGAATAATCTATAATAGATTGAAACTAAGTGAAATAAGAACAAAAGCACAGGTGAAACTTTTCGTGACAAATTCTGTCTCCTCTCCATTGATTCTAAGAATTTAAAAAATAAAAGGGGAAAAAAATTGTTCAGGTGAACCGAGAGTAATCCACGAAGTTTCAAATGCCAAATTTTATTTTTAAAATATCAAAATGCAAATAAATTATGACAGGATTACTTCCCTTCGGCGCAATCCAGAGAAACCCTGCCATAATTTGTTTGCATTTTAATATTTTAAACAAAAAATTCGGTATTTGAAATTTTGTGGTTACTCTCGGTTTAAATTAGGGCCGGCCGGATTACTCGGTTTAAAAATGGCTGGTTATTTGGTTTAAATACGGCAGGATATGGTAAATTAAGGCAGGATTATTTCCTTTCTGCGCAATCCAGAGAAACACTGCCATAAATTGTTTGCATTCCGATGTTTTAAAAAAGTTTCAGCATATGAAACTACATCTTTCACTCTGAGTTTAACTGAACTCATTTTTCCTATACTTTAAATTTTAAATTACTTATGTTGGTTAAACATCCGGTTAAACATTTCCATGCGGCCTGGAAAGTTGTTTTCTTTAACTTTTCAGTAAATTTAATGCAATGTTTTAAGATTAATTTTTTTTTTCAGGCCGTCATATATTATGTTAGAAGAAGAGGTATTAGTGCTGAATGTGGAGGAGTATTAGTTACTAATAAACATGTCGTAACAGCAGCTCATTGCATTGTTAGTTCTCGAAGAGGAACTACGTAAGTTATTTTTTTGTAACAAAAAATCCTAATTTTTTATATTAATTTGCAATATAATTTTATTTATCTATAATTTGCATTGTATAGTTGTTAACAGTGTTTCACAATCATTGGATTGAAAGAAAAACGTAGTTTTTTCTTTTGTCTTTTATACACTTCGAAAGAGAAAAAGTACTGCATTTACGTTGAGTATCAAAGAATGTATAACATTGTACACGCAGTTTTGCAGATATGCAAAGCGACAAAAATGTTTTTCCCCCTTCAAAAAATTGTAACTGATTTTTTCTGCATTTCTTTTAAGAATCCTGCATATGAAAATAATTATTATTCCTTACTTTTTAAAAATGGAGAATTAGAGTAAAGGGTTATATCTTTTGCATTTCAACTCGCAGAGTCGTTATTTTTCCTACCTGATTTCTAAGTTAAGCATTCGTCGTCACTTATAATTTTTTAATAAGATTTCCTGATACTGATTTGGTGAAAAAAAATTTTTCGTTAGATTGTTTGAGGGAACTTAAACATACCTCAATCAAATATTTTCTCATAAAAATTTAGGAAGCTAATTTGTTAAAAATTATATGTTAAATTAAGTTTCGTAATTAATAAATATTTGATGAAATAATTACTTTGGTTGTGCATTTTTTTTTTTAGTTTAGGAGAAAAATTAGGTAAATTTTTATCTAATCACTAATGTTTCTCTGACAGTGACTCATTAAGTAAATATCCCCTGTAACATTTTGGACTAATTAGACTGGAATAATTAAGACTCCGTTATATTTTATACTTTTAATTGAAAGTTATTTTTATGTTCTGGTGCAACTCTTTAAGCATATTATTGATTCGAGAAAAAAAAATTATTTAATCTAATTTTCAGATATATAGTTCAGACTTTAAAGTTTAATTTTCAGACTTTAAAAATATGTAGTAATCACCGCCATTACTATATATTTTTAGATTTCTTGTAAAAATGAAATGAAAATTAAGTACCCATCGGGGTTAAAAATTAATAAATGATCGAGGAAAAAGCAAAAGCGTTATCAAAATCAGCCAACTCATTATTGAAGAAGACTAGAATAAAAACATACGAACAAATTAGATTGCGAATCTAAATTGAGAAGAGATGAACAGCGATTATCAGAAACACATTTGAATTTAATCCTGCTTTCCTTAATAGTGTTTTGACAGGTTTTGATAACCTTTGTACTTCTCTCTTAATACTTGCGATTCTTAATGCGCTAATTATTTTAATTTAAATTTTAATAAGGAATCGAATAATATCCATTTAGGGTGGTGATTACGGAGCATCCAGTATAGAGTACGAGAAAATTCCGTTTATGTTCTTATCATACTGGATAACATTTGTATAACTAAATAAATAAATAAAATAGAATATGCCTTAGTGCTACAGTATTCAATTCGCGTATAAAACACTAATAATGAGAAAATACGATATTTTTTGGTACTTTTAACAATTACCATCATCAGTGACATAAAATTAAAAGAAAACAACAGACGTGAAAATTCTATTCATGTTCTTATCATGCTGGATAACAGTTGTATATCTAAATAAATAAATAAAATAAAATGTGTCTTAGTGCTACAGTATTCAAATTCGCGTATAAAACATAAATAATGAGAAAAATACGGTATTTTGGGTACTTTTAACAATTACCATCATCAGTGACATAAAATTAAAAGAAAATAACGTGTTTTCTCTTCATTTTTTGTCACTGTTGATAGTACTTTTTGCACCACCATCTGTCTTTGCTAACTATATGAGTGTATTATGCATTCTACTTTAATCTTACTTTTCACAGAATGAGACCATCACAGTTGAGGGTACGTCTTGGTGATCACAACATCGACACAACTGACGATGGAGCAGATCCCATTGATATTTCTGTTCAAAATATTATAAAATTTGATTCTTTTGATTTACGTACTTTTCAAAATGATATTGCCATACTTGTTCTAAGGGACACCGTTACTTTTACTGAACATATTACTCCTATATGCATACCTTTCGATGTATTTAGAGAAGATGATTTATCTCAAAGGAATGCTTTTGTAGCAGGCTGGGGAACTCTTAGTTATGGTAAATATCATTTAAGTATTTTTTGTATACACTAATAAATGACTATTAATAAATGACTATCAAAAGTAAAAACTATTTTCTTTAAAACTTGGTAATAAAAAAATTTAAAATATCCAAAGTTTTCAAAATTGATTTTCAGGTGGNATGGAGCAGATCCTATTGATATTTCTGTTCAAAATATTATTAAATTTGATTCTTTTGATTTACGTACTTTTCAAAATGATATTGCCATACTTGTTCTAAGGGACACCGTTACTTTTACTGAACATATTACTCCTATATGCATACCTTTCGATGTATTTAGAGAAGATGATTTATCTCAAAGGAATGCTTTTGTAGCAGGCTGGGGAACTCTTAGTTATGGTAAATATCATTTAAGTATAAATAATGAACAAAAATACTTTTGTATACACTAATAAATGACTATTAGTAAATGACTATGACAAGTAAAAACTATTTTCTTTAAAACTTGGTAATAAAAAAATTTAAAAAGTTTTTTTAGTAGTTTTTAAAAGTAGAAGTTTTCAAAATTGATTTTCAGGTGGAAATTTTATTTAAAGGCATCAATAATAAGTGTTATAAAACATACCCAATTAATAAAAAAAATACACTGTAAAAAATTTTGGTGAATAGTTACCACCATTTTTGGTGTTGAGGTAAATTAAAATTTCCGGCTGTCCAAGGCTTGGACTCCTTAATGATAATTTTACCTTATGCGTTTTTCAACATATCTTGAGAACTTTTTAAACGCATTGAAAGAATTTTGCACACAATTATAAAATTCGTTTATCCAAAGAAAATTCTAAACAAAAAATAAATTTTAGAAAATATTTACTACTTTTTTATTATTTTATTTTGTAATAGCCAAAAAAATTTTTAATTGTCAGATATACAATTTTTTATGAAATTTAAAAAATGTACTTTCACAAAGCAAAAAGAAAAATGTGAGCGAAATCGGTTGAATAGTTCCTGAGAAAACGAATTTTAAAAAAATCGTAATTTTAAAATTCAATTTCTCAGGAACTATTCGACCAATTTTACTCTAATTTTGAATTTCACCAGTAAAATTACATTATTTAAAATGGTGTAAAAAATTGTGTACCTTACAATTCAAAATTGTTTCGGCTATTGTTATGTAAAATTATAAGAAATAATAAATATTTACAAAAAGTTATTTTTTTGCATGAAATCATTTTTTGATAAACGAGTTTTATAATGCGTGAAAGATTTCGAGGCATGGCAAAATACGCAAAGAGTAGAATTAACATTAAGAGGCTCAAACTTATGACAGCAAAACCATATCTCTCAGTTGGCGGCTAACCCCTATATCTTGGAAGTCAGATATCCAAATCTGTTGGGAAAAAAAAGCATGTTTATTCAGAGAAAGTGCGTTTTTGTGTGTGATTTCGTAACTTGAAATATTGCTTTTACTAATTATCACATTTAAAATCACCTACTCGAACCTTTAAGGTTGAAACCTAGAACGTGAAGATCCGATCATTAGATCAAAAGCTATTCAAAGTAGTTCGTTTTTTATTTTGCTCACTGTGCATTAGGGATCGCAAATTTATATTCATACGAGGGTAAAACATAAACGCTATTAAATTTTATCGAATCACTAGTAAGGAAAACGGGACAGAAACATTTTGATTGTGTGATGAAACTTGGAAGTGTTTCTATTATAGTCTCGAAATTCCAGTTTTCTTTGACAATCAAACAGGTTTTGAAGCTTTTAGTCACATTTTCGTCAGTATTGATTCCTTAGATTTCGATAGTGTTTTTCTTTTCTTCTTAATTTTAATTTGCGTCTCCTAATGTGTGTTTCAACAAGGATTCTAAAAACAAAGATTATAACAGAACCTTCGCATACAAACCTTGCAGCAAAGATATTGTGTAACAAATTTATTATATGCATAACACATTTATTTTGTAACACTTTAGTCACGTAACACTTCGTAATACAGTTCAATTTTTGATGTATGCATTATTTAAGTATCACCAAAGCAATGTACGAATTTTATACTTAGAGTAAGTGGAGTTAATTATCTATAATGTATTAAATGTAGTCAACTTTTCCGATCCCAAAAAGGAGTGCTTTCTCATGCTGTATCAATATAACCAAAGCAAAATATATCAATACAATACTGTGAGGAGTACTCAAAAAGCATTTTTGAACAAAATAGAAAGAAAAACTTTTTTTGAGTGCTGCTATATTCATATATTTGGCTATATTCATACAATATTAGAAAGCACTCCTTTTTGCGAATATAATCGTGTGAGCTGATGACGGAATTTGTTTTTAAATAATTTTCTTTTTGTCCTTTTCGTGTATATATA